CTCTATTCATGTAAAATGCATATGAGTTAAAGGGGTCATATGATGCTGCTAAAAAGAACATTATTTGGTGTATTTGGTGTAATGAAATGTGTTTATGCGGTTTAAAGTTAAAAAACACATTATTTTCCACATACTGTACATTATTGTTTCTCCTCTATGCCCCGCCTTTTTGAAACGCGTCGATTTTTACAAAGCTCATCGGTCTGAAAAAGCGAGGTGTCAAAAAAAAAAAAAACCTCATCTTTGCCTGAATCTGTCCCTGGCTTGACAATGCAGACAGAATGCATATCTCTGCTGCTCATTTCATCTCTTTTTTTCTCTTCTCAATAACAAGTTTTAATATTATATTTTATCTCATGTAGAGTGGGGTCCAAAAGACTGATACCACTGGTGAAAAGGTCTCTAATTTACAATTATCTAATTTAATATATTTATTTAATTACAAATTATATTATCGTCATAAACAATTGATTTAAAAGTTGAATTAAAATTCAACATTCCCGTTTTTTTGGTTTGTCTCTCTTTTGCTTTAATGACAGCAGCACTTAAGCTGAATGAACTCCTCAAGCGTTTGTCAAACCTGAAGATCATGTTCTCCAGCATGATTTGAGATGATGAAGTTCAATAGGCTCTTTGAATTAGGAAATCTGAATTCTGCACAGAAACATGAAAAATGTCACTTATTATTTAATTAATGGCCTAGAAATATTATATGTGCAGAATATTAAATATTAATAATGTTTTAAAGGGGTCATTGGATGCAAAATTCACTTTTGTTGTTGTTTGAACATAAATGTGTGCTGGAAGTGTGTGTACACATCCACCCTATAATGATAAAAATCCACCCAGTGTTTTTTTTTTAAATCCCTACTTTAAAATCCCCTTTCTCAAATCAGGCTGTTCTGAGATTCCTGTCAGAATGATGTAGTTCTGCACAGGCCCCTCCCACGATGGTTGATTGACAGGTCCGTCTTACCTTAGACCCGCCCTGAGTGAGCTAAGAGCTGTCCGCCATTGTGTCGACTCCGGTGCAGGGGAAGACAAGAATGTCTCCGATTAAGCGATTGAGGTGTTTTGTTGCTGGATGTAATAATGAACAAAGCAGTCGTCATTTACTCCCGACATCTGAGCCGCTGAAGACGCAGAGGATTAACGTTACTTTCGTTTTTGAAAGGAATGCGCCGATCCCTGATCGCCGATATCTGCCTAAATGCGTTTAAGTTCGCACGAATCATTCATGATCCAGCTTCATCTACAGAAGAAGCGAGTATAAGGGTTTTTTATGAATCTTTGCAAATCGCCTTTCCTAATATGTGCTAGTTAGCAAGTTTCGTGGCTGAAGTTTACAGTCTGCTCATCACTCCACGGAAGAGAGGGGCGGGGGCAGCAGAGCTCATTAGCATTTAAAGCAACATGGACTAGAACAGCATGCTGAAAACAGAGCTGATTTTGACGACAACCAACACCCACTTACCCCCATTGAAAGGCTTAGAGGGGCCAGGACAATTTTTTATATAACTCCGATTGGATTCGTCTGAAAGAAGAAAGTCACATACACCTAGGATGCTTTGAGGGTGAGTAAAACACAGGCTAATTTTCATTTTTGGGTGAACTAACCCTTTAATATTTAAAGGCAATCTGTATGGTTTGCAGTATGGAAGCAATCAGGGAACACCTTGAAGGAAAAAGTTCTGATTAACTCTTTAGCCTATTAGGCTAAATAGACAACACAAGATAAAGATGAAAAAATGTCAAAAAATATTAGCTTGCAATGCAGAGTTGCTAGGAGTATAAAACGATTTTACAGGCATTGCAAGCATCTCTGCTTTCAGTCAAGTTTTCATGCTGTAAATTTTAAATGACAATTTGCTACCTACATTTCTAGAAAGAAATTGATCAATTTAATGCATCCTTGTTAAATATTTCTTAACAATTTCTTTCTAACAAAAAAGAAAAATCTTTTGAACAGTAGTATTTTTACAGAATTTATTTTGCAAAGCGGCAACACTGCCCACATTCGAGAGAGATTACCATGGCAGCTCTGCCTAATTAACCATCAACGTCAGTTGAGCCAGATTGTGAGTCTGAACTCCTGTAAGCTGACAGTGTGGAACAAGGTGACAATGCACTATTCACACGTATGCTAAATCCACAACACTGAGTCATACAGTTAATACGTCTCACAATGACATAAGCGCTATTACATCCAGCCTAACTGTCCACATAAGCACCCAGTCTCTATATGGTAACTGATCACAGCATCACAGATCTTTGTAAAGTGTTGTGTATTGGAAACGGAATAAATGGGAGTGTTAATTAACAAGACAGAATGACATTTGACCTTAAGCAAAATGTTGTCCACTAACACATGCATAGATGTTATTTATAGAAGAGCGACCATGTGCCTCTCTCTTCATTTCTCTTTGGAGACCTAACAGCAAAGGAAAGTTTCATTTAAATATTGATGAGGCCCTGTTATGGCTGGCTAAGGTGATGTGAGTTGTCAAATACTGTAGCAGTGGTTGATAAGGATTCTTACTGCCTGCTTCAAACTTTATTTGGCAATTCATAACTATTTTACATTTTGACGAATTTGTGGCTAATTCATGTGAATCTTATTTGAACATTTTTGTATGATCTAATGTCCCACTAAGGGTTATGTGTAGGGATGGAACTTCATATTTATTTCCTAAAAATTATACTTTTCCATCCACATTCATATAAAGTTGACAACTCCAAAAGTAGTTACCTTTTCTCAAGAGTTTGGGCTGGCATTTTAAAGTGTAATTTATGTAGTATGTGCAAATGTTTACAGTGTGCGTTTCTTATGATCTCTATTTACTATTTATTTTACTGCTATTAACTATTAAATGTTCAGAAATATCCAAAATAATACCAACCAAATGAATAAACCTTTTTTTAAACATTATATACTATATAAGTTAACGTCAACTTTAAATGAAGTAAATAAGCATGGTTCAACAGCTATTTTCTTGTGGCATTTGTTTAAATGCAAAATCTCAGTTTCATATGTGTCCAGTTTAGCTTCTTAAGGGCAGCTGATATGCATCACGGTATTTAATAATGAAAGAAATGCATATAAGAACTGCACACCAAATAGTCATGGCATTCATTGGTTAGCAGCTATCAGTTACTGAATCGTTCGGGTTTAATAAATGAAAACATGACACATACAGTTAAAGCACACCAACAGACAGAACAGAAGCCCAGAAGCTAACAAAAATCCAATTTAGGCTCTGTTACCGGAGTGCTCATAAACTGTAAGAGAAAATATGACAATATTACAACATTAAAATGAAAGATGACATGCTGACACCATGCCAAATATTTAGCAAACAGTTCTGATGTTGACATCATATAGTCTGCATAAGAGCCATGACCGCTATAAATTGTAATACTATTTCACAATAGTATTGTTTTTACTGTATTTTGCTAAAGTAAATGCAGCTTGGATGAACATAAGAGACTTCTTTCCGCCCGCTCCTTTTTTTTAATACCCATAAATCATTTTAAAAAAATTACCCGTTAAACCGTTTTGTATTTCAGGTAAAGAATATAGGAATGTTTTAAAAATGATGGGCCACAGAAGATTCTTTTATTCCACATAAATGAAATGAGGGTGATGTGAATAATGGCACAATTTGAGGATTTAGGTGAACTATCTCTTTACAAAATAAAAAAAAAGTCCCATATTTCCTAGAGTCATTTTGTCTAGAATGTAACCATGATGATATCAATTATATTCTATCTATTCTATTTTTCATGTCCTAATTGAGCACATTAGCACCTCGTTTGCCTACAGATAAAACAGCCAGCCGATCATCACATGAAGTACAAAGAATTCTGCTACACCCTGGCACTGGTATTGTACCATAGAACCAATCCCGCAGAAGTGATGCAGCCAGGCAGCATTCCTGTTCAACACAATGTCTAGCTTGCATCTTTTTTTCCATGTGTGGGAATGTCAACGAAAGAGGAATTATTAATATCAGATTCCATCAGTCCAGTCCAACAAGTTAAATATGCCATCGACTTTAACAATGTTCAAAGAGAACACATGCACTCTACAAAGACACAGCACCTCATCACATTTCTCAAATACAATCCAATTAGAAGCGAATTAAACCCTTTTTATGGTTCTGTTTCCATAGTCTAATACTGCAGAAAAATAATGTTTTCCATATTACATCAGCTTTGGATTCTGTTTATTTCTGCCGAGAACGCAAATCATCTACCTTATTCTTCTAGTACAGTCCAAGTCCAATGAGTGTGATCTTTTTTAAATATTGAAGTGCCATCACCTGCATACAACAGAGCCTGTCTATAAACCAAAAGATACATTAAAAAGGAACTCAGAGTCAGAACTACTGCATGGTAGAACAGGAAACGAATCAAAGGGATCTTAATTATCAGAAAACAGTGTCCTGGTGCCCTCTAGAGGTGATCATCTGCACTCACAAAAGCTGTGCAGTGATTTTATTCCAAGACATTAAAGGGATAGTTCCCTTAATAGCTAATATTTCCTACTCAAAAATGAAAATTCTATCATTATTTACTCATGCTCATGTTGTTTTAAACCTGTATGACTTTCTTTCTTTGGATCATAAAAGAAGTTACAGTTTGGTTACAAACATTCTTAAAAATATATTTTAGTCTGTACCAAATTTTGGTACAGATTTTGGACATGAAGGTTGAGTAAATGATGACAAATGAGATAGTTTTGTTTGTTTACCATTTTTTCATCATATTTCATGCACTGAGTGCATCTACTGTGTGTAAATATCATTATTGTGAAAAATGGACATTTGAAATATAAAGTATTCAATCCAAACAATACTTCCCATATTAATTAAGATATAAATTAAGAGGTTACATAAGCATTATTTAAGTAATTGCTGAGTAATTTTATGACTGCACACTATTAGGAAATCTTGCATGACTGTTTTAGTTTTATGAGATTGTAAGATATAAAATCCTACTTGAAGCGCTGCGTGGTCTATTGTCTGAAAGTTCAGAGATGGCTCCTGTGGTGACGGTCTTCTTTATGCGGGACACTGCAGCCACTGAACCCAGAACAGGTTTAGCCAGAGCATCATCACTGCTCGCTCTTTTTATCTATGCACAAAAACATTAGCACTGTCAGTGAATCAGCTGAGAATCTAATTTCTGATTAAATATAATACTTAATACTTTGTGAAATTAAATTACAAATAGAGTTTTGTGACTTTTAATCCATGTCTGTTATCTCAGAGGCCATCTATGAAATTATCTTTTAGCATCATTTGTGCATTTATAATGTACAGTTGTCTAGGATAATGAATCGATATATAGTACCTACTTCTGACCAGCAACAGCAAAGGCAATGCAATGACAACCTCTTTGGATCAGAATAAATAACATGACATTATTCTGGACTCAAAACAGTGAATTTAGCCAAAAGGTGACAAGTTTGCAATTCTGCCAAATATTTATAAATATGTCAAATATTGACATATTTCACATATGAGGATGATGAGGAATATATTGTAATTTTAACTGGCCCTATGTACAGTACATGTGTACATCTTTGGGCATCACATCTTGCAGTTTATCCACCATTTTTGTTCTGCATTCTGTTGTTTTTTTGTCAGTGTCCCATCACTCCCGCTACTCATCCATTCCACTGGCTTATTAGATTAGCGTTACAGCACACCTTGCTGAGTCGCAGATCAGAGGCAATGGTGCTGGACGATCTAGAGGTCTTCATCCCGATGTTGCTGGAGTATGAGCTTTGGGAGCTGTTGGCAGACAGCTTTGCACGCTCCGGGGCTCCCAACCTGGGCAGTGCCGCCTTGGCGGTGCCCCCTTTCAACATGGTCTTCTCAGTTCACAACTCTCACTACTTGTTCTGCAGACAAAGCAACAAGAGGAAGCAGAGGTTCAGAGTTAGATGGTTGAGTTCAGATTATAGCACAGGAAATAGTTTAATCCTAATGGGATTGCTGAATACAAACACTTAAAACAATCTAAATTCATCAGAATCAGAACAACCATTGTTCGTTATAACACACAAATTCTATGTATTCTTGCATGTTTGTTTAATAAATATTTTGGCTTGCCTGGTTATAAAGCAGTCATCTTTTAATAAGAGTGTACCCAACCCAGACCAGACAAAAACTGGAAGAAAAAAAAAAAAGTTTTTTGCTTATATCTTAGGGTGTGCATTGATTTGGATTTGTAATTAATGGAAGTTTTTATAAAACTATTCAAATATTTTATTCTAAAATAAAATTATTTTTACTGTAAAATTACCATTGTCTGTAAGAATCTGTGCATATGGGACTACTTGCTCATGGAGGAAAAAATAGAGAGTGATTTCAAGTTGGTATTAAAATTTCACAGTACCGGACCAGACCATGGTTTATTTATTTCCAGGATTCAATGTAGTGCTAATTAAATCATTCAGAATTCTGCAAATTTTCAATCCAGAAAAAGTGAAAAAAGATCAGCAAAGAAATCTGCAAGGAATTCCAGGAAGATGCAGGATCGTTCAACAGATATCTTCTTAATGCAAACGAAAGTGGGGCTATTTAGAAGGTGAGAGATAAGGAAGAGAGAGAATGTGAAAGAGACACAACCTAAAGATAAATCTGAAGAAGGTTCCTGTGACTAAACATGTCCTATTATTAAGTAATCTAGTAATCAAACGCCCCTATCAGAGACCCACCATCCTAAATGCAGAGTGCAGGTCTCACCCTAGAAGATCTCTAAATCTATTAATGCACAGAGACCGAGTGACTCAAAGTGAATGCAGGAAATATTAGTGAACAAAGCAGAGGTAATGTGAGAGGAGTGGACAGGTGGCCATTGACTGAAAGAGACATGAGTGCTCTTCAAAACAGAGGGTGAGGGAGCTAATGTATTTTGTAGAGAGCTGAGCATTTACCCTTGTGGGTTGCTCTCACTGATTTGAATGATGGTGGGGTGCAAATGTACACAGGCCCAACCATTAACAACATCCCAAGAGATATGTAATGATAAATATATGAACAGCAGAACCTTACCAGTAAGAAAGACTTCAGTTGCTCCACCTTTCACTCTCTCTGTTCTGGTCTTCCCATTCACAAACAGCAATAAATAGCCTAATATTCAAGTATAACTTGAACTATTCGTCTCACTGTAGGGTGTACTGAGGGTTACTATAATGACTAGGGGTGTAACGATTCACTCGTTTTCTCGATGCATCGATTACAAACCCTGACGAAGCAATGCATCGATCTTGAAACATGGATTTTTGAATCATGAATCGCTGATTTCGGACAGTAATCGATTTAAAACGCTAAGAATCGAATGAATCGCGATTTCTATAGCGATTCAATGCTTTCAAAATATATACACATTAAATTACTACAAGCACAAATTAATGGAGACCTTGAACAGTGTTCGTGCCCTCGAATCTCTCCTTCACGCGCTCCATTATTTCCCGCCTGCAGGAATTATCACAGGATTGCGCTCGCGCTCCGTTCGTCTCACTGACACATTTTTTGAGCAGCTGATGTGTGATCTCTCCTTAGTATACCTACTCGTGGCCAGTAATGCTAAAGTGAAGTAGTTTTACTTTTCTGCAATTTTTCAATGGCTCTCGGTCATACCGACGACATTACCTGAGCAGT